TGTTTGTATGAGTTGAAAAGAATATTATTGTGTTTTAGTAACCAGTTCTTTGCTTCCCATGTATTTGTTTTTACCATCATTGATATCAGAAGTAAAAGAAAGCATTAAAAATATTGTACATGGGAAACCCACCACATGCTGAGTAGAGATAATGGAGTCGGGAGACACCTGGTGGCTGGGCTGGTGAAGATGGGTACGAGTTTCGTCATTAATGAAGGTAGGTGAGGGATGGGTGTGGGAGCAGGTGAACAGGTGAGAAGTTCTGCGTTACAACACTCATAAAGCCAAGGAAACTCTGTTGCATCTCATCTCATTGTTAACCCACGAACATTATAGGAAAGTTTTGCCTAATCCAGATATCCAAACTTTTGACTGTCAGTCTTTTAATAATGTGAAGGAGAAATATGTACAGATTAAAAAGAGATCTGTTATGTTGGTTATCAGGATAATGTCATTCCAATACTCAGACAAAGCCAGAAAAGTAGAGTGAAAGGCAACCCAGAAGGGCAGAATTTTCTGCACCATCATGTATTATTTACTCTTTGTATATTTTTTTAAATGATCACCTTCTTATAGCTTTTTAAGAAAATAATGGTTCATCACTATGTTTTACTTAGCATTTTTACCATGAATTTAAATATTACCATATGTTTACTCCTCTACTCATGGCCGGAGCAATAAAAATATAACTGTAAATAACGCTGAGTCTTGGTTATTTATAATGCAATAAGGAATAAACAAAATTTTTGACATGTTGAAACAACATTGTTTATATGTGGACATAAAACCAATTATGTGTTCTGTACTGATATAAAGAAGACGATATAAAGAAGATTTAAAAATATTGAGGAATAAACCCTCTTAATAATAAATCCCCCGCCCAAAAAAAAGTATCGGTCACAATGTACTAATATAGGATTTTAGATGACATGATATTATGGTGACTCTGGACCAGAGACTAATACGTTCTCTTAACACAAAATATTTACTTTATTTATTAACACATCGGCCGTCTCCCACCAAGGCAGGGTGGCCCAAAAAAGAAAAACTTTCATCATCATTCACTCTATCACTGTCTTGCCAGAGGCCAAGTCAGGTCCTAAAAATCCATTTGCCTCCATTCGCACCTGTGTAACATGCACGCGCATGCTTGCTGGAAGTCCAAGCCCCTCGCACACAAAACCTCTTTTATCCCCTCCCTCCATCCTTTCCTAGGCCGACCCCTCCCCGCCTTCCCTCCACTACAGATCTGTATACTATCGAAGTCATTTTATTTCGTTCCTCCCTCTCTACATGTCAAAATCATCTCAATAACCCCTCAACCCTCTAGATAATAGTTTTGGTAATCCTACACCTCCTAATCTCTAAACTATGGGTTCTCTGCATTATATTCAAACCACACATTGCCCTCAGAAATGACATCTCCACTGCCTCCAGCCTTCTCCTTGTTGCAACATTCACAACCAATGCCTCACACCCATACAAGAGCGTTGTTATAACTATATTCTCATACATTCCCCTCTTTGCTTTTAGTACACCACTCTCCTTTTTCCCCTCGTCAATTCTATGATTCACCTCATCCTTCATAGACCCATCTGCTCACACGTCCACTCCCAAATATCTAAACACATTTACCCCCTTCTTACTCTCTCCCTCCAATCTTATAACCAGTCTTCCGTTACCAATATTTTCTTTGTTATCCTCATCACCCTACTCTTTCCAATATTCACTTTTCAATTCCTTCTTTTACATTCCCTACCAAACTCATCAACCAGCCTTTGCAACTTCTCTCAGAGTCTCCCAAAAGCAGAGTGTCATCAGCAAAAGCAACTGTGACAACTCCTACTTTGTGTTAGATACTTTATCTTTTAAACCCACACCTCTTGCAAACACCCAGCATTCACTACTCCATCTATAAATATATTGAACAACTATGGTGACATCACAAATCCCTTTCTAAGTCACATTTTTACTAGGAAATAATCCCCCTCGCCAACATACTCTAACCTGAGCCTCACTATCCTCGTAAAACTTTTCACTGCTTTCAATAACCTACCTCCTATTCCAAACATTTGCAACATCTACCACAATGCTCCCCAATCTATCCCATGATATGCCTTTTCTAAATCCATAAATGCCACAAAAACCTCTTTACCCTTATCTAAATACTGTTCACCTATGTGTTTCACTGCAAACACTTGGTCTACACACCTCCTACCTTTCGTAAAGCCTCCTTTTTCATCTGCTATCCTGCTCTCCGTCTTACTCATAATTCTATCAATAACTCTACCATACAATTTACCACACTTATTCCCCTATGGTTTTTACACTCTCTTTTGTCCCTTTTGCCTTTATATAAAGGAACTGTGCATGCTCTCTCACAATCCTAGGTACCTTACCCTCTTCCATACATGTGTTAAATAAAAACACTAACCACTCCAAAAACTATATCCCCACCTGTTTTTAACATTTCTATCTTTATCCCATCAGTCCCAGCTACTTTACCCCCTTTCATTCTACCTACTGCCACACGAACTTCCCCCACACTCACAACTGGCTCTTCCTCACTCCTATAAGATGTTATTCCTCCTTGCCCTATACACGAAATCACAGCTTCTCTATCTTCATCAACATTTAACAATTCCTCGAAACATTCCCTCCATCTTCCCGATACCTCTAACTCTCCATTTAATAACTCTCCTCTCCTATTTGTAACTAATAAATTCATTCTTTCCCTAGGCTTTCTCAACTTGTTAATCTCACTCCAAAACTTTTTCTTATTTTGAACAAAATTTGTTGATATCATCTCACCCACTCTCCCATTTGCTCTCATTATACATTGCTTCACAACTCTTTTATCCTTTTTTTTTTCTCCATATACTCCTCCCTCCTTGCATCACTTCTAGTTTGCAAAAAGCTCTCATATAATAACTTTTTCTCTCTTACTACTCTCCTTACATCATAATTCCACCAATCACTCTTCTTCCCTCCCGCACCCACTTTCCATAAACTTCTGCTGAACACTCTAACACTATATTCTGAAATTTACCCCATACATCTTCTACCCATTGCCTATCCTAGTCCATCTGTCCTCCAACAGTTGTTTATATCTTACCCTAATTGCCTCATCCTTTTCTTTAGTTTATAAACCTTCACTTCTCTCGTACTTGCTGCTGCCATTTTCCTTGTATCCCATCTACCTTGTACTCTCACTGTAGCTACAACTAAAAAGTGATCTGATATATCTGTGGCCCCTCTATAAACACGTACCTCCTGGAGTATACCCAACAATCTTTTATTTACCAGTACGTAGAACTTACAAACTACTAAACTACTGTCATTTCGCCCAACATCATATCTTGCATACTTATTTATCCTCTTTTTCTTAAAATATGTTGTACCCATAACAAAACCCTTTTCTATACAAAGTTCAATCTAATGCTCCCCATTACCATTTACACCTGGCACCCCAAACTTACCTACCACACCCTTTGTAAATGCTTCTCCTAGTTATGCATTTAGGTCCCCTACCACAATTACTCTTTCACTTGGCTCAAAAGTTCCTACACACTTGCTTAATTTCTCCCAAAATCTCTCTCTCTCCTCTACACTCCTCTCTTCTCCAGGTGCATACACGCTTATTATGACCCACTTCTCACATCCAACCCTTATTTTAATCCACATAATCCATAAATTTATACATTTATATTCCCTCTTCTCTCTCAATAACTGATCCTTCATGATTATGGCTACCCCTTCCTTAGCTCTAACTCTCTCAGATACTCCTGATTTAATCCTATTTATTTCTCCCCACTGAAACTCCCCTACCACCTTCAACTTTGTTTTGCTTACGGCAAAGACATCCAACTTCCTTTCATTCATAACCTTTGCAATCACTTCTTTCTTATCATCTGCACTACAACAATGCACATTCAAGCATTCCAATTTTATAAAGTTCTTTTTGTAGTCGCCTCCTACGACACGCAAAGTTTGCGGTGGAAGAATTCTGTTCCACTTTCCCCTGGAGATAAGCAGAAATATACAAGAACAAGAACCTGGAAGAAAATAGAAGAAAAGCCAGAGAGTTAATATATATATGTTCGTATATATATTGATATGATATATTGTTGGTTAGGTATTACATGACAGAGGCTGGATGTGGGAAGAAGGGGGAGGAGATGGTTGCCAGTCTTAGTCCAAGGACCTGGAGAAGGGGTGCTTGCTAGGTGTTCTGGAAAGAGTCTTGGGTGAGCGGTGTTGGGGAAAGAAATGCTGTTGCTCCTGATCCAGGGGATTGGAGCAAGGATGGAGTGTAGTTTTCATCCAAAAACTTCGAGCAGATGAAGGTGAAGAGAGTTCTTGATCCACGGAGAAGGAGAAGGGATGGTCTTTGCTGGTAGCGAAAGGAGCATGTAGTAACAGAGGGCAAGGGAAAAGGGGTAAAGAGAGTTTATGATAAGAGGATCTGGAGCAGGGAGGTATTTTAATGGTGATGGTGATCCCGGATATTAGAAAGAGGGAGGAAGGTGTTGTGGGGAAAGGTTATAAAGTGGGAAAGGGTGGATTCTTGGGATGGTCTTGGGTGAGATGTGATAAGGGTTTTGATCCAAGGAAATGGAGTAGGGATGTTAAGTGAGGGATGCTAAGGATAGGGTGTATTCTGATGCCAGCCCGGAAATCCGATCGTAGCGTCCCGAGCACTGCCGGAACAGAGCCTACAAAGTACAGTCGGATCACTGCGAGTCATCTCACTACTAGGCATGAGGTAAATACATTGTAGCTTCTACAAGACTTCCACTTGGTAAGCTAGCTAACTACCCTGGAGAAATTAGTGAATAGTCAACAAGAAGAGTTGGAGCAGGAACTGACCTGTCTTCAAGTGGTCCATGAGCCAGGCCATAGATAGTAGCATCAGCTTGGTTTACGCTGACACCACGACCTGACTTTAGTGGGTATATGGTCAACTCTGACACCTCTCCCACCTCCTCCCAGCTGATGAAAGAAACACTGATTAACTTATGAAAGATATTGGAAAAAAGTACATGCGAGCTTGTACACTCACACGCACAAACAACACACACACCACACACACACACACACACACACACACACACACACACACCCCACGGGGCCAGGAGCTATGACTCGACCCCTGCAACCACAAATAGGTGAGTACACACACACGTCACACAGATGTGGGGGCACACGGCTCTGAGAACCTTAGTGTTTTTAAGGCATGCAGTAAATGCTAGCAGTACTCAGTGGTAGTGACAACGTCAGTGAGCAATCCTATGAGTGATAACCAAAGTTATTAGTTAGAAAAGTCGAGAGGAAGCCTGAAATCATTAATATTTCAAAGTGCCAAACAGTTAGGGGCCTAGTAGGCACCTGTTGCCACAGATTCAAATATACAAAGATCAAAGTGAGTGTGAATGGGTGTTCAAGAATTACGAGAGAGGTTAACAAGTGAAATGTGGGGCACCATACAGTGAGAGTGAAAAGTTAATAAGCAAAAGGAGAAAGGAAAAATAAAATATATAACCAGGGAAGGTGGCAGGAGTAGGCCCGCTGAAGCAGTGACGTCACAACAGGTTGTGTGCTATTATAAATATAAAGCGTAGCCACCAAATGTGAGGTGTATTCTATCATAAGTGAAAAGAGAAATCACTTGAGGAACGTGGGATGTATGAGCATATATGGTTATAAACATCACCGGTGAAGGATTTTCAAAATAGTGATACAAGGCCTATGTACAATGACTATTTCATCGGCATCTGGCAACTTGTCATCGCCCCGCTGCCAGTGCAAGTACTGCTCACCTATTGTGGTTGCATGTTGTCAGATTCTGGTCTCTGCATCACTGTTAGATAATGGTCACTCACTCCTACAAGCTATTACCAGAATTAGAGTAGAAATAGCATAGATAAGGCAGAGACAGGGTTGACAAGACTGAAGCGGTCTAGCGAGGGGTAACGTCAGACACTTCTAGAAGTTGAGAGAAGCTAAGTTTTCGAACCTAGTTACTTTCCATATTTCATATGTAGAATTGATAAGTGTTAGAATTACTATTGGCAAGTTTTAGAATTACTGGTATTACTATGGTATTTATTAGCAATATGAATACTTAGAAGTGGGAGCACACACACACATACACACACACGTACACGAGAGTGGAGTAACAGTCACCCCTCAACTGCATACCACCTACCTCCCCTACCCACCACTGGATATCCAGTCCAAGCCCTCTCTCCCTCTCTCTCTCTCTACCTTTCTCTCCCTCTCTTTCCATCTTTCTCCTCACTCTGCTCTATCTCTGTCTCTTTCTATCTTCTCTCTCTACTTCTCGTTCTCTCTCTCCCCTCCTCACACACACCTTCCATTCATTTTCCCTTTCCTCCCTTGGCCTCCCCTAACTCCCCTCCCTCCCCACTCATTATCCCTAGCCTTCTTCCCAGCCTTCTCTCTCCCTCTCTATCCAGCTCTCTCTCTCCCTCCCCCTCTCTCACACACAAGCTCCTTTTCGTGGTAAAAAAAAAGGGTAACCCAAGAGGGTGGAGACCCAGGGGACTGGAGGTCGAACCCAGGAGGGAGGAACCTGGGAGGGAAGACTGGGAGGCAGAGCTCACAAAAATGGAGGAAGAGTGGGGAAGGAAGCCAGCTGAGCTCTGCAGGGTAATGGAGGAGAGGATAGCTGAAGAGAGCAGGAAGTGGGGACTACAAGTCTTAGCAGCAGAAGATAAGACAAAGTGCTTAGAAGAGGAGATAAAAAAATCTGAAATAGAATAGAGAGACAAATGACAGCACAGGAATGACATCAGAGACTTCTATACCAGTCACAGATGAGGGGGCTGTAGGGATTCAGGAAAAGATGAGTACAGGAAGACCAATCGTGAAGCCTGCAGTCAGAGCAGGAGACAAGACTTATGCAGAGACTCTAACAGTCAACAACAGTGGCAGGGAACAGCTGAGCAAGGAAGACAGTCCACTGAGCATAGGGGCTGCAGCAAGGGCAGGGGTTGAAGGCAGGAACATCTCGATGGAAGGAGATAAAACACCTCAGAGGACACAAAGAGAGACACAGTGGGAGGAAGAGAGGGAGAGGCCAATGTTTGTCTACAGGCTCCAAGAAGTTGAAAGGGAAACCTATGATAAAAGAATCCAGGGGGAGAAGGTATGTTGAAAGCAATAGAAGAGGGAGACATGACCCAGGAGGCAAATTTCAGAGAATTGGGTGGTTTGCATGCAGAAGGAGACGGCCTGTCAAAGTAGTCTTTGAGGCAGAATTAGCTTGAACCAGGGTCCTGCAGGAGAAAGCATGACTGAGGGACAATTCAGAGTACCGGAGCATGTACCTCGATCACGACAGAACACAGGAGAAAAGGACGAGACCAAGAGAGAGGAAACAAAGACGAAAGGAGGAATGGGAGGCATCGATGAGGACGAGCAGAATCCAGACTCAGGTGTAAGGGCAAATACACCCTACAGAGACACCCACAGAAGGACTCCAACCACAACAACCCCGAAGCAACTGAACAACCTCAACCAAAACCCACACACTGTTCTCTCTGCCCCCACCCTCCACCACAAACCCCACCTCTACAGCAGCCCCTCTTGGGCACTCTGACCCCAACCCCACCACAAACCCTACCCACACTGTGAAAACCCCAATGCAGCTGAACAGTCTCAACCAACACCCACACACTATTTCTCTGCCCCCTCACATCACAAACCCCACTGCCACAGCATTTCCCTATGGGCAATCTGTCATCAACCCCTACCACAAATTGCACCCACACCACAAACCCCCATAACCCCTCATGGCTCCCACCTCCCAACCCCAATATTCTCCCAGGTCCACCGTGATAGACAAGCTGAAGCTGTGGTACACAAATGTAGATGGAATGGCACGAAAGAATCAACGAGAAGTCCCCAGACATTATAGCAGTCACAGAAACAAAACTCACTAAGACAATAACAGATGCAGTCTTCCCACAGGGAAGAAAGATAGAAGGAGCAGAGGTGGAGAAGGGGTTGCACTGCTCATAAAAAACCGATGGAGTTTCGAGGAAATGGAGATCATGGACGAGATTGGAGAAAGGGACTACATAGCAGGCACAGTTCAATCTGAGGAACATAAGGAATTCATTGCTGTGATGTATAACCCTCCACAGAACTGCAGGAGGCCAAGAGAGGAATATGATGAGAACAACAGAGTGATGGTGGACACTCTGGCTGAGGTGGCATGAAGAGCTCAAACGTGCAGAGCAAAGTTATTGGTTATGGGTGATTTCAACCACAGGGAGATCGACTGGGAAAATCTGGAGCCTCATGGGGACCCCGAAACATGGAGAGCTAAGTTGATGGATGTGGTACTGGAAAACCTCATGCATCAACACATCAGGGACCAGAGAGCGAGGAGAGCTAGTGACCACGTAGTCCTGAGTTTTGATTACATAGTAGAGAGACTAGTGCAGAAACTAGAGGATCAGGTGCACATATCAGGAAGGGCACTGCAATGGATCAGAGAATACCTGACAGGAAGGCAACAACGAATCATGGTACGTGATGAGGTATCACAATGGGCAACTGTAATTTGCTGGGTCCCACAGGGGTCGGTCCTAGGACCAGTGCTGTTTCTGGTATATGTGAATGACATCACGGAAGGGATAGACTCAGAGGTGTCTCTGTTTGCAGATGATGTGAAATCAATGAGAAGAATTAAATCAGATGAGGACGAGGCAGGACTTCAAAGAGACCTGGACAGGCTGAACACGTGGTCCAGCAACTTGCTTCTTGAATTCAACCTTGCCAAGTGCAAAGTCACGAAGATTGGAGAAGGGCAAGGAAGACCACAGACAGAGTATAGACTAGGTGGCCAACGACTGCAAACCTCACTAAAGGAGAAAGATCTTGGGGTGACCATGACACCGAGCATGTCTCCGGAGGCAAACATCAACCAGATAACTGCTGCAGCATACGGGCGCCTGGCAAACCTGAGAATAGCGTTCCGATACCTTAGTAAGGAATCGTTCAAGACACTGTACACTGTGTACATCAGGCCCATACTGGAGTATGCAGCTCCAGTTTGGAACCCACACCTGGTCAAACACGTCAAGAAATTAGAGAAAGTGCAAAGGTTTGCTGCAAGGCTAGTTCTGGAGCTCAGGGGTATGTCCTACGAAGAAAGGTTGATGAAATCGGACTGATGACATTGGAGGGCAGGCGGGTCAGGGGAGACATGATAACAACATACAAAATACTGAGTGGAATAGATAATGTAGATAGAGACAGGTTGTTCCAGAGAAGGGACACAGAAACAAGGGGTCACAATTGGATGCTGAAGACTCAGACGAGTCATAAGGATGTTAGGAAGTATTTCTTCAGTCATAGAGTCGTCAGGAAGTGGAATAGCCTAACAAGTGATGTAGTGGAGGCAGGAACCATACATAGTTATGGCAAACAATGAATCCCTTGTTAATAATTTAGAAATTTCAGAGGAACTGGGTGCTAGCGACCACAAATCAATTACATTTAGCATTGAATGGAAGTACGATAGTAGCGATAACTCAGTAACAGTCCCAGATTTTCGCTTAGCAGATTACGATGGGCTTAGAGAACACTTATCATCTGTTGACTGGGGTAACGAAGAGAGCTATCAATATGACAGTTTTCTGAACACTATACATGCTGCTCAAAGAGCGTTTATCCCATATAAAGAAATTAGATCAAATAGAAATGACCCAAAATGGATGAATAATAGGCTCAAATATCTACTAGGGCATAAGAAAGGAATTTATAGGCGTATCAAAAGAGGTGAGGGTCATCTTATGAATCAGTATATTGACATTAAGAGGGACATTAAAAAGGGGATAAGAAAAGCTAAAAGGGACTATGAAATTAAAGTTGCTAGGGATTCTAAAACTAACCCAAAAAGTTTTTTCCAGGTCTATAGAACAAAAGTTAGAGATAAGATAGGTCCCTTAAAAAAACTATGGACACC